TCATTTGTTTACATACTCGCGAATCCCATAAGAACATTAAAATGGACTGTAATGTATATACAAAAGACCTCTAGGGTAAAAAGAGAGAAGAAATGAGAAGAGGAAGAAGAGGAGGAGGAAGAGAAGAGAAGAAATATTTTATATATGTATATAATAGGTAAAAAGTTAAAAAGGGGTAAAAGGAAAAGCTCTGACAAAACATTTTAAGACAAGAAACCTCCAAAGATGCCATTGAGTTTGTTTTTTGTTGGCCTTGTACTGTTGGGCATGCAGCCTACACTTAAGAGTAGTTTGTTTACTCAGTGAGACTCCCTTAGATGAAACTAAATTGTGGGCATTTTCTTAATCTATTTTATTGAGTTCTTATACCTCTACCTCTCTTCCAACCTTTATTCCAACCTAATCCCTTCCAACCCCCCAACACTAGGTAAGAGAGAAAGAAGGTTAAAGAAGAAAGGAGCCGTAGACCTTTATAGGCTACTTTCTGCTGATTGGGGGACATAAAGTTCCTTGACACAAGTCCAGTCTCCATAGTCAGAAGAGGCAGCAATCTAGCCATAGCAAACACAGCAGCAGGACAAACAGGCAGCAACAGGAGGAGTAGCAGCTGCCACAGACCCTCTCAGGGCTCTCCTCTTTATACCCTCTCCAAAATCCCCAGACTTAAGCTCTCTGTAGCTGGCAAAGATCACACCCCTGCTAGTGCATGAGGCAAATCATAATCTCCTGCTGTGAAGCAGCCTCTTACCCCACACCTCGGATTAAAACGAAAACATAATCATATAACATCACTAGAAACCAAGATTCTCACTAAACTAACTTTTCACTTGCAAGTGGTTATCAATCGGAGATAGCTTCTGGGTTAGAGATTGGAGCATGTGTCCACTTCTACTTTCAGCTCTAGGACCCCATCTGGGGCAGGTCCTATGCAGGCCCTGCTGTCTCAGTCTCCATTGAGTTCATATGTGTGTTGATCCTGTTGATTTGGAGAGCCTAGTTTTATGGTGTTCTTCATCACCCTCTGGCTCTTAACTCTTTCAGCCCCCTCTTCCATGAGCCTCCTGATCCCTGAGGAGAGAGATTTGATGGAGACATCCCATTTAGAACTGTGTGTTTCAAGGTCTCTCTGTAATTTGTGACTATGGGTCTCTGTATTTGTTCCCATATGATGCAGGAGGAAGTTTCTCTGAGGATGGCTCAACAAGGCACTTATCTATGAGTGTAGCAGAATATCAATAGGAGTCATTCATTGATATTTTTCTTTTTTAAAACAACAGTATTTGGTTTTACCCTAGGTCCCTGGCCTCTCTAGTCTCAAGTTCTTAAGTCAACCAAGCCATGTGAGATATGAGTTCTATTTTGTGGAGTGGGCAACCAGAATGACTACTGTTAATCAAAATGTAATACTGGATAGAATATTTCTTAAACAAACTAGCCTTGGCTGGAGAGATGGCTCAGAGGTTAATAGCACTGTCTGCTCTTCCAGAGGTCCTGAGTCCAATTCCTGGCAACCACATGGTGGCTTACAACCATCTATAATGTGATCTGGTTCTCTCTTCCGGCCTGCAGGTGTACATGCAGATAGAGCACTCATATACATAAAATAAATAAATAAATCTTTATTTTAAAAAACCCACGGAGCATATAAGAGTACCTATATCAGGTCTGGAGTGAGGCCCAAGAATGCCTCCTAGACACTAGCTAGAAGTCTTCAAGACAGCATACTGACATATAGTTCTTAGATGTTAGCTGAGTCAAAGCCCTGAATGCTGTGCCTAGCATCAAGAAAAAAAAATTCTAAAAGAAACGATAAGAGCTAGAGGATTGTACTTGACATAGTAAGACCAGGTTAAAAATCAAGTCTCCTGTTTCAGGAATTAGGGGGTGTTTGTTGCTCTGAGTAAAAGTTAGTGTTCATTTATTAATTGTGTAACTAGCAATCCTAATTATATTTGAAAGTCTTGGAGGCAGCGTCAGAAATAGTCTTTGGTTAGGAAAAAGGTAAAGCTTTTTTAGGTAAAGAATTTGCAGGGCAGACAGTGTAAAGGGACAGTGCAGTAAACATAGAAAGCCTTGAATTAAGTTTGCTATTCTTTTAAATGGCCTTGAGATCTTTCTGTTATTATTATTCATCTAAGTTCTTTTTTATTTTGGTTTTTCAAGACAGGGTTTCTTTGTGTAACAGCCCTGGCTGTCCTGGAACTTTGCAGACTAGGCTGGCCTCGAACTCACAGAAATCTGCTTGCCTCTGCCTCACAAGTGCTGGGATTAAAGGCATACACCACCACAGCTGGCTTCATCTAGCTTTTTAAACTTTTGGTTATTAATACTTTGACATCAGGGGAAACTAAGTGTCTTTTAAATTACACTTCTACTTGTGTGTGTGCACACACGTATGCACATGTGTGAACATGCCACAGTACATGGGTAAAGGTCAGAGGACAAATTGTGGGAGTCTGTTCTCTCCTTCCACCATTTATGGGTTCTAGGGATCAAACTCAAATCATCAGGCTTGATGGTAAGCACCTTTGCCCGCTAAGCCACTTTACTGCCTCAGTAAATGGTTGTTGGTAGTTACTGTTATTCTGGTTTTTGATACAGAGTCTCTCTATTATGTAGCTCCAGGTGTCCTGGAACTCACTTTGTAAACCAGGCTGCTCCTAAACTCACAGTGATCCACCTACCTCTACTTTCAGCGTGCTGGGATTAAAGACATGTACCATGCCCAGCGCCACTAAATGTATTTTTTAAATCTTTTTTTAAACCGTATTTCATTGAGGGAATAATGGGAGTATTCATATGTGGATTTTAGAGGACAACCTTCAAAAGTTGGTTCTCTCCTTCTACCATGTAAGTCCTGGGAATTGAGTTCATGTTGACAGGCTTGGTGGAAGGTGTCTTTATATACTGAGCCATTTCCCAGGCCCACTGCCCATATATACTGCTTGATTTTGATAACACGGTGTGTGTGTGTGTGTGTGTGTGTGTGTGTGTGTGTGTGTGTGTGTG